GAAGGGAGATATGAGGTGCTGAAAGGGAACAAACGTAGATGATCGTAATTTATAGATATATTCGGGCCTGTTGTGCAAAATCAATAATTTTATTGACAAAATTGGGAATAGAGTAAGAGAGGGGATGACTCGTATATAATGCTCGGCTATAAATGATCCCGTAGTATATCAGAAAAAGTGTTTTGTTCTCCTCTATATAATCGTCATCTACTAATATAACAATTATTGGTTAAGTATCAATGTATCAATATTGTTATGAATGTGTGTGTGTGCGTTGTTTTCTTTTATATGTATGTGTGCATTATTAATCATATAATTTCTTAAATGTGCATACATCAGAGAAAATGATTAATCCACTCAATATACTGTCGGTGTGATGTCATTGTAGAGTTGCATAGGTTTCTTTTGAATGTACTAAATTTATTCGAGGGGAGATCAATAATGCTGTGATTTTAAACTAGAACGTGCGCACGTTTTATAATAATGTTTTAGGGGGACACATTTTTTTAACATTTTCTTCCAAAGATCTACAGAAAATATATTTTTTCATTGATTAACAGCACACAGATTATTTAAAAAAAATTTGTATGGTCCGACTGAGCCGCTATTTTTTAAATTTATATATTTTTCCAAGGACCTGAAGAAGGTAAATTGTTATGCCATACACAACTACCTTGTAAGGTCATAATAGCTTTGTGTGGCCCCAAGAGTTTGTAATGTGGCTAGACATGTGTGTCTGTCCGTCCGTCTGGCCATTATAATATGTAAACATGATACAGCCAATCGTCACGGACGGTTTTTTACCAAAGAAGACCGCTATTGTTTTCAGCAATGATCGATTAATATTTAGGTGATGAAATGGGCCAAGAACTTTATTTTTGTCTGTCATTCTGGCCGCTCTAGAGGCCGGAAGATTACGAAATTTTACATAGGAATATTGAATTAAATAAGGAACGTTTTTTGGCTAAGGAAAAGTCTTTTTTTTAATAACAATCGCATAATGTTAGCGGTTCAAATGAATCCAAACTTTGGAAAATGTTGCATTCTATGGCGTATATATTTAATCCTGAAGAACATAGATCGGACAGAGTAGTTGACAATATATCCAAGAGGAGTGGTTGACATTTTAATTGATACCTATTTGTATGTCTAAATGTACTCGGATAAGGGAGTTATCGTAAATATTTACACGACGATGTCTATAACTTTCGGTGATAATCAGATGCAGTTCAGGAGATGAAATTGACCGAACAAATTTTTTTGTGGTTTTCTAGTCGCTCTAGAGACCACAATTACAAACCGAAGATCATTAGTTTAATACGGGGAGGGTGATCTGCCCAATCAATTAGAATGACTCTTTTTATAATGACCGGTCTATATTAAGCGGGTTACATCTTATGGCGTAATTCAGAAAATATGTCAGGGTAAGACAGAATCTGTTGAACTCAATTCGGTTTTCAGGTTACAAATATGACAGAATATTGCCCAGACTCGGAATATAAATCCGCGGAAAGTTAAAGTTTAATGGTAGTTGTGTAGGACCACCTATACTTCACCACCCATTGGTTTTATGTATGTGAAAAGAGTGTAGATTTTTAAATACTTTTTTAAGGATCGGAATGCCACAGTTTTTTTACTAATTCAGAAAATATGTCAGGGTAAGACAGAGATGCTGTTGAACTCAAATCGATTTTCAGGTTACAAATATGACAGAATATTGCCCAGGCTCGGAATATAAATCCGTCGAAAGTTAATGTTTAATGGTAGTTGTGTAGGATCACCTATACTTCTCCGCTCATTGGTTTTATGTATGAAAAGAGTGTAGATATTTAAATACTTCTTTAAGGATCGGAATGCCACAGTTTTTTACTAAGAAACCAAATAAGGTATATTTTTTAATTAATTATATTTTATATATTTATATCGTGAAAAACGTAATTTTTTGTAATTATATACTTTTTAATTATAGTTGACCTTTAAAATGACAACAATTCATACAACAAAACGGTGCAAATCGGACATTTCGAAACTTGTTAAATAAGGTCCTATAGTTCATATAAAAATAATGGATTTATTTTTCCTCAACCTAATATATTGGCCATGAGTACCATTATTATAACACCCAAAATGAAACCCTTATCTAACATTCGATGAAGAGAGGCCCAATAATGTAAAAGTGAACCAACGCTTGTCAGTAAGAATGATCTGCATGATCTTCAGAGAGATAGATGTATAATATTAAATTGAAACTCTAGACCAAGAAGAAGCTGACCTGAATAGTGAAACCTTTCTGTAAATATATAATAATCTTGATGCCATTTTTTAATTTACATAGAATACCTTCAGGTAGTCCTCCCCCTAAAGGCATTATCGATATATAAGAAGTAAAAATAACTTAGACGAAACATTCTGTAGATAGAAGGTCGTAGGAGACTCAGAAAATCTCTTTGAAGTTCATACTAGAAGTTCCTTAGAGGTATTTTATACAAAGAATCATTTCAGATGAAATTTTAAAAATAAAAAATATAGAAAATTAGACGAAGTCCTTAATAGAAGAATTTTCTATTTTTGAATTTCTATTTTGAATTTCTTCAGCGGAGTTGCTTACAAAAGTTGCATGTATAAACCCAAACTAAGAAAGCTGGAGATATTTTTCATATAAAATAACTTTTAAGGGTTTTTCTGTAGATATAGCCCATTTAGAACGTTTAGTAGGCCTCTATGAGGTCCTAGGAGACCTTTTAGAAGATTCTTTTAGAGTTTGTTTTCTGTATTTAGAAGATGAAATTGGATGATGTAAATGAAATGAACCTTCAAAGGGTATACTTTGAGTGGATATTCTACTAAAAACGTTTTTATAAGGCTTAGAACTTAACCTCTTAATAAAGAAGGCAAACTTGCAAACTTCTCAGAATTACCCTTTCCATATTTCTACTCTGTTAAGATATATAAATTCAACCCATATGCGTTTTATGTCTTATCGGATTTTTGTGGGGCAAACATTTTCCCCTTCTGAATGGCAACATTTTGTGACGACATCATAACCAGCATTGGGCAATAAGAAGTGGCGTGTTTTAAAATACTCAGAATAATACTGATATATAAATATATTGGGCATGAAATCAGCAAAGTTATTAATTTGTCATTTGTCTCACTTCAACTACCAATTAACTGCTGCTTCTACTGCGCTACTAAAGACGAACAAAAACGCAAAGGTTTACTGTTTTGTAGTTGTTGTTATTTTTTATATTCCTCATAGCTATTTATAGAATTACAAGTAAGAAGTGATTTTGAAGTTTGTTTCGTTTTTTTTTTCATTTATCGTTTCCTCACCTTTAGCTACAGATAGATAAATTTATTAAACTACCTTCCTTCCTCCCTCCCCCGATTAATTCAATTATTGTCTTTTTGCATTTATTTACTTTTTTCAGTATTGTTTATATTTTGATAAGATTGTATTTATATATATAAATGTTTTTCAATAATTATATTGGGATGAGGGGGAAAGGGAGAACATTTGTAGGCTCCCAGATTAGCCAGTAGTTTCCATTTGAAGCAATTATAAAAAAATGATAATTTAAAATTGGGCTAGCATTTAATATTTTGTGTGTTTCATTCTACTATTCCATTTTCTTTATATCTCTTCTATGCTTTTTATTTGGTTTAATTTTTGTTTTGGCAAAAAATATTCCCCTAATTTTCTGCCTTTTTATATACCCGCCCTCCCTGAAATTTTATTCTATTCTATATCTTAATGTGGTTTTTTGTGCTTGTTGTTCGTCATTGTTTGCTATTTAGCAGACAGCCGGAGCTCCAACAGCACACAGAGACACACACACACGCCAGAGAATATAACCAGCATTGACTTCTGCCTCTGTCGGTGCTGCTGGTGCTTATTGAATGGGTGCTGCCTTCGCCAACGACGTTGACGACGACAACAACAGTGACGATGATTAATAATTATGGTATTTCCTCTTTTAATTGGCCATTATTCCAGAAATATACCATGGACACAAAAAGAAAGTGGTGGTGGTGTGGAGGAACAAGAAATAAAAATTATGGAAGCTTGAAGCAAATTGCCTGCTCGTCTAGTAGCAGTAGTTCTGCTCTATTCTGTTTTTTAATTATTTCAATATATTGTTGCTATATATTTATTGTTTATTCCTTTTGTTTTGTTTATTGTTTTTATATACACGTCATTCCTAGCATACAAAGTGACAATTTGTTGTTATTTTGTTGTGGTTTTCTCTCCTTGTCTTCTTCTCCCTTGTCTATCTCTCTGTCCGGTGGTAGTTTGTTCGCTTCATTGATTTTCATTATCAAACAAAATAATATCTGCATTTATAAGCTTATGAAGAAATCAATTAATAATAACAAAAGGCCTTTATTCTTAGGCCCAGAGATTGATATGCATCGAGGGTCAAGCTTAAAAAAAGGAGAATGACCAGAAAAAACGATTTCCATGATAATCATCAGATTAATGGAATTTTATTCATGTTTATAGCCAACCCTCCATCATAAGGTGTAGTTAGTGTATATTCATTTTGGTTATTCTGTTTGGAACACCTCGAAATATGTGTCGAATATTCACAGGATAGATTTTCAGAAGGTCTTCTTTGTAAAAAGATTTTTAGACAACATTCAAATTAAATTATTAAATATGTAAATATAAAAATTAAATATTTTTTTATATATTCAAAGAATTTTCATAAATATCGCTCTGAATATTTTAATTTCGGTTCTCAAAGACTAAAAATTAATATTTCTATGTTTTAATTGCCCTTTCCTGTTTTACTTAATCCTACCCTATATCTGTGAGTTTGATAAAATTTGGCATTCAGGTTCTTATTTTCTATAACACTGAAACTTGGAATAAATTGTGATATACATTTTAAATTTTTTTTGAGGTTATCTGTGGTGTGCATTTGACTCATCCTTATTCCATCTTTAAATATTATATGTACCTTAAATTAATTGTATTTTTCATTTATAATTTTCAGGTTGAATTGGCCTTATGGGATACAGCCGGTCAAGAAGATTATGACAGACTTCGCCCACTCAGTTATCCAGATACAGATGTTATACTAATGTGTTTCTCTGTGGATTCACCCGATTCATTAGAGAATATTCCTGAAAAATGGACCCCAGAGGTAAGAAACAAACAAACACACTCACACATTTTACTTCTAGTAAAAAAAAATAAATAAATTATGATATTTCGCAAAGAAAGAGTGATATCCAAGAGAGAAAAATGGTATTTCAAGGGAAACAAAATTTCAATCACATCGGAATATTCGTATCTAGGATTGATATTCACGCCCAAACTTTCCCCATAGGAAACAAATACAAGAATGAAACGAACTGGCAAAAAATAGTATAACTACCTCGTGGAAATGCTTCCTTTCAAAATCAAACGTATCCCTGAGAGCAAAATGGAAGATGTTTTTAGCTGTATGCAGATCTGTCCAATCATATGGATCACATATATGGGGTTTTTCTTTTTTTCGATGAAATCGATAAACTAACAATAAATAATAATAATACGCCTCTCATCTCGAGGCGAGCACGAGGATAATATTGTTGGAGAAAAAATAATCGGATGCAAAGACATTTTTATTCTATATAAATGCACGGTAGATAGAAGATTTGGAATAAAAGAGATATAGAAGGCAGATGGTTAGGAGATTTTCCATAATAGAATACTTTTATGGGAGTTTTAAAAGATTTGTAATATGTTTTCTTCTGTACACAGAAAACATGTAGTCTATAATAAGATGCATTTTAGGAAAAGAACTCTATAGAAAGGTGCAAATTGAGAACTATAGGACGTTTTCTGAATATTAAAGGTCTTTAATTCTATTTAGGATGTCATATTTACATAGATTACCTGCAGATAGTATTTCGGCATTGCATGCTTAAAGGTATTTTTGGCATAGAAGAAATATACCCTTCATCTTTATTAAAAATTATTTGCTTAACATTCAATGAGTAGTCTGTGTAGGACTAGTTTATGGATGTGGTATGGAGAAAAAAAGGTTCTTTACTTCCTATAAGAGGAAGTCTGTATATTAATATGTTAATAAACGAATTCGATTTAATACAATAGAAATAATCAACTTCTAAATGTTTTTTAGTTATAGAAGGGACTAAAGATTTTTAATAATCTTCCTTCGGGTCTTCTATAGAGATAGAAGACCCTCAATAGTACCGGAAATGACTGGTATTCTGTACAGAATTATTGAGAAGAAGTATAGCCGCTTTATTTAAAATAACCTAAGAGTAGGCCTTCTACAGCGAAAGCGTTTATGCGCCTTTATATATACCTAAATTGTTCGGAATTTTTTTATACATAGAAAGTCCCCAGAAGAAATCTATCTATACTAGAATGACTTCAAAGTGTATTTTCAAAAAAGAATAAAATTTCGTACAGACGGAAGGCCTTTAGAATATCTTCTAGGTTTGTTATTGTTGTAGCAGCCCTAATGATTTTACACAATGGACGAAGTGACAGTCGTTGGCCGAGCTAGACTCGGATCGTTTCGGATAGTAGACCTATCTGTCATGTAAACAAAGTCCACACTTGAAGATTTTTAGTTTTTTTACATAGGAGGTATTCTATACTACTACTTTTAAGCGACGAGCTCTAAAAAATAAAGGGGTTTTTACTAGGTAGAAAATCGTATGTAAGATCTCTATTAGGGGAAGATTATTCGTTGATCATCTATATTTAATGAGGACTGTAGAAATAAGAGCATTTTTATACAGAAATTTATAAAAAAATGTATTCTCTGAGAATTTGAAAACCCGATATAGCAAATTATTAATATTTAGATAGGTTAGGAGCTACAAAGTTCACAAAATGGGATGGGATCTTTATATAGAAGGTTTCTATCCGAGAATATTTTGAAGATATCTATTTCCGTAGGGAAGAGTATTCTATGAGCAGATTCGTATGCCCGAATAAGGACTACTTCCTTTAGAATCACTTTTTGAACTTAGCTAAATATTTTTTGACTTCCCTGTAATATGTCTTCCTTTAGAAAACATACTTGAACCCCCTATCCCTACTTTATTACTTATACATATTTTATTTATTTTTAACAAATTCATGATTTTGTCTATCCCTTCCTTTTTAATTACAGGTCAAGCATTTTTGTCCAAATGTCCCCATTATTTTGGTGGGTAACAAAAAAGATTTGAGAAACGATCCCAATACAATTCGGGTATGTATTCTGTGAACATAAATTCAAATAATTTCTTTGTGTATTTAATAACTATTTTAACTTTTCTATTTTCCCCTTTTTTTCCACCACTACCAACAATAGGATCTTGCAAAAATGAAGCAGGAACCAGTTAAGCCACAAGAAGGTCGTGCTATGGCTGAAAAAATCAATGCCTTTGCCTATTTAGAATGTTCGGCCAAGTCCAAGGAGGGTGTTCGAGAAGTATTTGAAACCGCCACTAAAGCTGCATTGCAAGTTAAAAAGAGGAAGAGGACCAAATGTAATTTGCTCTAAAAGAGTTCTATACTTCATTTAAAACAACAACAACAACTACAGCAACAACAACCATACTTTTTTTAATAAAAACAAATTCAACAACAACAACAAACAAGAACATACAATTTTACTTCTACAACAACAAACAATAAAAAATACACACAAAAAAAACTACAAGAAAAAAGTAACAAAAAACAAAAACCAGCACATTTTTACTTCAAGAAAAAAGAGAAAGAGAAAAACAAACCTCTAATGCAAGAAATTTATATAGAAGAAGAAAAAAAGTAAATTTGATTTTGAAGGAAAGAAACAAAACAAAGAAATCACAAGGTTTTTTATACGTTCCACCTCCACCACAAACTCACAGCAACAACAAGAGAAAAAAACCACTACAACAACAACAAGAAAATCGCAATTCGCTAAAAGGAGAAGTAAACTTTTTTTCTATTTAAAATCAAAAAATTAAAAAAAAAGAAAATCACACTCACACCCAAAAAAAAAAAAACAACACACAATTTAACAACAACAACTATAAAAAGAAAAGAGGAAGAAGAAGAAACAAAAAAGTGTTAATTTTTTTGTTTTTCTTTTTTTTACGTTAATGTTTTCGTAAATAATTTATATATGTAATTTTTTGAAATTTACATTTCATATCTATCTATATATACATACATATTTTTAGTAGTCTATGTGGTTTATTAATCATTTTTTTGCTTTTATTTAAAGAAAAAAGAAAACAAACAAACACACACACAAACATAAATTCAATTTCTTTCTTTTATATTAAGTTTAAGTTTAGATAAACGAGATGGAGAAAAATGATATACATTCAAATTATTTTTTGGGGGTTTATTGTTTTTGAAACAAAATAATATTAATTGAGAGGATAATTTTTTTTCTTTGTACAACAACAATATCAATATACAAATTTTATTTTTTGCAAAAAGTGAACCAAAAAAATGAAATTAATAATAAAGTTTCAAAACTACTAATTCAACTAAATGACGAAAATAAATTACTAATAATGTGGAGTGAAATTGAAAGAACACACAGAAAAAGAGATGAAATATAGGAGGCCCAAATTTGATCAACATAACAATGTCACGTAATAAAAATCGAATTAGGTGGGGAATATACACATCAAAGGCCCTTTTCAAAAACGAGTTCAGAGTAGATAATTCCACACAATATCTTAAACATTTAAAAAAAAAATCGAATAAAAAAAAAATCGTATTAACATACAACTGTAGCTTTTTAAAGACAATGCAGTATTAATTTCAAAATGTTTATTAAATCAAAATTGCTAGTTGTTATCTTCCCAACAACATCCCTACATCAAGGATAACATGTATAGGACATCATACAAATTTATAGCACATTTATGACAATACACTTTTCTCATGTTGCGGCTACGTTTCTAAGAAGTTGAGCTCTCTAAAAGCAAAGAGCCGAAGAACATTTTTAATAAAAAATCTGAGTACAAGTAAAAGGTGGACAAATGTATATTCTGTGCCTTCATAAACAAATTCGTTGGATATCATTAAAGACGAAAAGCATTTAAGCTATGAAATTATTATTTTCGTCACAATAAAGGCTATCGAAATTCGGTGACACATTTTTGAAATGGAACATTTCTTTAGCAAACGTCAAGCCTCAGATTTTTTTTCCCACTAAGACGTTTTCAAATGGGAATATGTAATTTGTTAATGATTTAATTTTTATCGCAGATATATTAGACGCATTGACAATGAACATCCTTCTAGGAAATTCAATAGAATTTTATTAGACAATATTCCATCAAGTTGAAAAGAGCTATTTTAAAGAGCATTTTTTTTTTCAAAATCACTTTTACCATTATTGGAAGTTTGTGTCAAACAAAAGAGGTTCTTTAAATTGCTGCGGTGAGAGTTTTATTTATTTTTTTTAATGTGAACTACAGTGCAGATTTATTTTATGTAATAAAATTAAATGAAACGTTTTTTTTTTAAATCATAAATTTGGTGACGGTTTTTTTATTCCCCACTATTTTATTAAACACAAAAAATTCACCATACCGAAAACCTCTACTAGATCTTCAGATCCTTAAAAACTTCTGCGAACTAAGATTTTTCAATAAGTCTGCAACTTTTTAAGCAACTCTGCTGCTGCTCTCTTCGATTCCCATTTGAATTTCTTCCTCCTTGTCATTTTTAGACTAAGTATTTTTTATTATTTGAGATTTTTACAGAAAATTTTAAGCCTAGACTTGTCTTCTTAAATTACGCCCAGAAAAAAATTAAATAGTCCCATTTTGGGAATATATATTATTCGATCTATGAATCTTATTCTAAAAATAATATCACCTAAATCTGGGGTATTAAATTCCACGGGCCGGGCTCAATGTTCAATACTTAGATTTTCAATTTGAATTTCGTAAGAAATAAATCCAATTATAACGGAAATTCTTCCAAATGAAAAATATATTGGAAATGAATGCAACAAGTTGTTTGCCCTTCTTCTTACCAAATGGCAGGAACTTCGAAAGTGGCATAGCAAAATGAAAAACGATTTCTCGTGGAATATAAAAATTTTAGTAGGATTTAATTCCCAGCAGAAAAAAATCGAATTTCCTAAAAAAAAACATGAAAAAACGAACGATTTTCTGAAAAATTCTTCGTATTCAAAATGAACTTATTATCCAATTGTAACTCATATAACATTTTTTTCTGGTCGGGACATTAATATGTGGTTTGCCTACCTGATAAATTGTGTATTAAAAAAATTGAAAATTTGTTCAAATCAAAAACAGTATTTTATAACATAGTTCCAACAGAACATACTTCCATTGTGGTGGGAGTAGAATCAAATTGATGCGACCAATTAGATAATTCTTTTGCATTTATTGTATGTTGTGTTATATTTCATGTCTTAGATGTTAGAATAAAAAAAAGACATTGCACGACGCACAACCATTTTAATTGTATAACTGATCTTTCGAAAATAATATTTTGTGATTTAAATTTTTATACGAATAATCGAAGACATCTTAGAAATGTGTAAAAAGAAAAAAAATTCAAATGTCCAGGAAGTGGTGGATTGATATTTTTCTTGGCTGATTTAATTTAGAATCTGTTCAGTGTGTAAAGTACAATCTAGAATACACAAAGTTTTTATAGTGAAGATCCTTTCATATCCATGGATAATTGGATAATTGCCTTCTTAGAAAACCATTTTACAAATCAAAAACACATCCGAATTTTTGAAAATGTTAAAATTAGTCCCAATAGATCTGCATCCGTCAGGATGAATTTTATAATTTGTAAAAAAATGGAATGAATTTTCCAAAGGGCCATGAAAGATTCCAAAAATGTCATTACATGGACTACTCCAAAAGCTTAAAATTAATTTTTGAAAATGTCAAAATTTGTTCCAATAGATCTGCATTTAAAAATCCGCATGGACGAATTTTATAATTTGCGAAAAATTAATTCTTCATAATAATAATAAATACGTGATTTTTAAAAACACATAACCATTTAATGCCGTGATTAAAGGCATTGCGATCGCCAGAACAATTCAGCGTTCGATGAATTTAGAGGAACTTTTTGTGTACTCTGTTAATACGGAGAAGGTTCGCTAAGTAATAGCGCACAGTTGAGATTTTTTACTTCGAAGCCGCAGCAGACTCCTCGGCAGAGTTAATGTTCCGTCATATTGATTTCCTCCTTGTATTCGCATAGAGGGCCGTAGTTAACTCCGTAGAGTCTGTTTAAGAGACCTTATGTTGCAATGTCCTGCAATGACTCCTGTCAATTTGGATTTGGATTTCATTGGCTTTTCTTCCACAATACAAGAACTTAATTTAAAACATGACCTTAGATGGTGTATAAGTAACCTTTAATAAGGCCCACCAGTTTATACCTTAGATGGAGTATCAGTAACCCTTAAGGGTCATCAGGTGTCAGATTTCCTCTGAATTTTTTAATTCACTGGCATTTAATTACCAAAACTTTTTTAAAATGTCTTTAATATCGACACGAGAACTTCATTCATAACATAGGACTCAATAGATAGCCCGGAAAGTCGTCGAAGGTTAACCAGGTTTTTTCGAATGTATAGAATGTAACTTGATTGCTTTAAGAGTCGCCTGGGATATTTAGTCATGATTCCGGAGTTTGTTGGTTGCCCTTAAAACTCGGGCTAAGACATTACAGGACAAAATCAAAGATGAATCATTATTGATTTTGAATTTATAGTTTGCAGCTAGATCCATCCTCCACTATTATAAAAAATGCCACCTTCCAAAAAATAATGAATTTGAATTCATATTTCACAATTTTTTTAAAGGGGTGATTTTTATTATAATTTTGGCATATTTTGTAATTGCCAAAATGTTATAATGGGGTACAATATATTTATGCTGCAAATCTCAAATTCCTCTTGGCTTTTACGAATTCATTGGATTACTTTTAAATTAAAAAAAAAAATAGTTGAACAAGAACTTCATAAAAATTTGGGCCCAGTTTATTTCCTCTCTTGTTATTCTAATAAATAAAAGCAAAAGATAAACAAAGTAAAATACACAGAGATACACACACACAAAACTATTAAAGTAAAACAAACCAAAAAATTAAAAAAAAGTATTTCAAATATTTTTTCTAATACGTGTGGTATGTATGACTCTTTCTCCTATATATAAATAAAAATAAAAGAACACATTAACAAGAGTAACGTATACAAGTAAACAAACTGATATTTTATTACAAAAAAAAAAAGTAAAATTAAAAAACCGCCAATTTAAAACTGTAAAAAAGAAATGAACTTAACAATTACCACAAACTAAATGCATTCATATACACATATATATTTTTTCTTATAAATAATTATAATAATTAAAATACACAATAAAATTAAAACCACAAAAAGGCATAACAGTAACTGAATCACCATTTATCAATAATTAAAAAAATACAAATTTCAAAGCCCACATTTATTTTTCTTTCTTTTAAACAAAAGAAATCCTTTGTAAAAATAAAATAAATAAAAAAATATTAAGAGAAACATCCCCCATCTTCATTCAAATAAAATAAAACACCTCAATATTATAATAAATAATAAAAAACAACAACAACAAAACCTATTTTATATATAAAACAAAAAAAGTAAAACTAAACAAAAACAAATGGAAATTATATCGCTTTTT